ACAATATGTTTACAAGTTCTGAAATAAACACCAAATTTACAGTTAAGAATACAACATTTGGAAATATATAATTGTTAACCTTTATGCAAAATTGACCACTTCTGAGGATTATGGCACCATTAATCTGAAAATTTACGATTTTTTCTTTCCAAGGATATATGATTTAGCCATGTGTTCTATGGGTGCAATAAATCACTTTTTTTTATGATTTCACCGCTGGTCTAACATGGTATCTTCTATCTTTTTTTTGTCACTTTTTTAATTGACTCGGTTTGGGTATGGAAGGGGAAATTACAGTCATATAAATTTATAGACAAATACAAATCTTAAACAACATACAAACTATATAAAGCAGAATTGACATAATCGATGTTGAATAGGCGAAACTTAGTAAGGCATCCTTTGACATCCAGAAAAAAGATTTTTTTTTTCAACCAGCTTACAAAACAAAAATGGTAAAATTCAAATTCAAAGATTTAAATATGCCATAAAACGAAGATAAAACAAAATCTAGACTTTTTTTTAAATGTTTTTGGTTGTACATGGTGTATGAAGTTGAAAAGGAAAAAAGATTTCAGAATAATTATTTCAAAAGGCATGCCAGTTAAAACAAATAATAAGAATAGATTGGAGCCAATCCTGTGGAAATATAAGTTTTAATTAATATTACCTTCTGTTTTACTGTAATCGGTAATCGTAAGTTGGTAGTTAGTTCTCTCATACCCCACATATAATGTTTTAAAAAATATATTTTATGTTGATTGAAATCCAAGATGTCAATGTAAGCGAGCGCATACCGAAATAACGTATCACAGTTTATGTTCACAATAAACAAAGGAGCCAATTGCACTTCATCATTGATGACAAGAAAGCATGCAAGAGAATGTGACAAGTTTATTAAGCAAGAAAAATATCGTTGATATTATTGTATGGAGGTGTAAAATACATAGCAGAGCAATCGTATCTGACATGAAACAAGGCGTTCGCATTTCTTTAACTCGTAATATCAATACTGTTCTAGATATATTTATGTTTATATGAATCTGAAGTGGTTATTATTCCCATTATAGCGTTGAGTAATGTGTCATTGCATTGTAAAATATTTATTATGGTCATATCGTTTTCGCTGCATGTGAAGCCAAGATAACCTTGGTTTTTGATAATTGAACTGAATTTAGTATACCATTTTTTACGGATGTCAAGATTAATACATTGATATAAAAAAAAAATCAAAAAAGTGTTTGTATTATAAAGGTTTCATCTATCATACATTTTTTCTTATGTTTTTTTATTTCTTGGTTTAATCATCATTCTTGTCTTTGTTACGCCGTCTTTGCGCCACGATTTCCAATTAAGGTTGTCTTTGAACACACCGTTGATGTTGGCATTAGTACATTTCGCATGCCACCAACCACTATTTTTGGAATCAGAACACGACCGAAGTGGTTTTAAGTCGTTATCCTTGTCACGAGTAGAAAACATCATACCATTCATTGGATTGTTATCCCCATCGTTCATTGAATCACCTGTAAATTTAAATTTAAAATATGTAAATTAAGGCAAAGTATTTTACCGATGCTATGATTAGTCGGAAAACAACAGCACAGTACATTAGTGAGATACTTTTTATACGTCTTTCTATGGAATTAAAGACACGTATATTAAAGAAGATGTTCTCTTAACACTAGACATGACTAATATCACGATTTAATTACATTCAAATCATTGTAACAATGACAATGACATTATCTTCGAAAACTGCCATGTTCATTTCAGCTACAGGCAATTGTTACCCTATGTTCTTATGATACTTTTGTATTTATATTCATTTAACTCTCATGTAGAATGGCAAATTTTACAGAGATTCTAACTACAAAGTAGGTTGTTCTAAAAAAGAAGTAGATATTGTGACGATAATATGCTGCAAACCATTTATTTCAAATGTTAGCTTAAAGTTTCCTTTGAACTTGAAATGTGTCTGCTCAAGTGTGAAAAACTGTAACACAGTATACACAGTACCAGAAACATTTGCGGGGTTGCATGTACCATTAAATCGTGTAGAATACAAGTATAACCTAAAGTCTTTTTATGACTGTCCGTCAATGAATGAATAAATGAATGAATGAGTTAATATTTTAAACATAGCATATAGTATAATAAAGTATGCTAGCTCTACTCTTTTAATTAATTGATATGGTGACACAATCATACCACATCTTCTTATTTAATTTTACAGTATTATGTGCTAAAGTATAGTAAACAAACAAAAATCATGATGTTATAATAGATTTAATGAAATGCATGCTTAAATCAGATGAGTGCAACAAGGAACCATGTACATTCACATTTTGAATCTTGTTTCTTACATGGTATACGTAGAAACAGAAAAAGGTATACGTATAGCATTCAAAAAATGTGTCCTTCTTTCTAAAATTTTCCTTTTAAAATAAATCATAACACGACAGGCTTGTTTTCCAATAACATCTATATTGAATTTCTTTTGACGGACACTATTCTGAATCGTGTTAACGTTGCTTTTCGTAAATTTGTTGTTTTAAAAAAAAGCAAACCGGGCCTTATGCAAAGACAAATCCGGGTCCTTCCATTTTGACATGACCCATTTATTTCGTTCCATGCACATAAATACAAACATTGAGAAGCACGAAGTGACGAAATTTTGCAATTTCCATCTTAATATCTTTCTTGCCTTACCTTTCTTTCCATACAATATGCACAATTTAACGAGAAATTAAACAAATTCGATCCAAAGGTCATTTAATTCATCATTTTGACATGCCTTTTTACTTTTTTCTCCGTTAATTCAGAACGGTTGTAGAAAATATTTTATCTCATAATTGAAATTAGTTATATGTTTATTTATTTTCTTCAATATCATAAAAATAACAAATAAATAAATAGAAATCCTACCATTTATCTGTCTGCCGATGGTCCCTCACCGTACCGGATATTATATACTATTGAGTCCGAACATTTTTATCCGGGGTAGTTTAGACACAGTGTACTTAAGTTTTATCAATATGGAATAATATTCGTATACTACTTGTATTAAAAAGCCTGCTAAAATACGTCATTTTTGCCTAATTACCCAATAGCAATGTTCAGTCATGTTGCTATCAATTCTACAATATTATGTCTGAGTTGAAATGAGTTTTATCGGAAAAGCTTGAAGATTAAGTTCAGTGCATTTTAAAATTGTTTATATCATAATGGTTGAAAAGTAGATTTGAGTCAATATCAATATCGTTCTGAAAATATTCAATAACATGGCGGAAAACTTCTTTTCTTGATTTATCGTGAAACATGGTAAAAATTTACGCAAATTTGTATCTGTGGATCAAACGATCATGCTAAATTATTTTCTTTTTCCTTAATCGTTTGTTTCACTAAATTTATATCAAATTCTCTGCTAACGTACAAATAATCATTGTATATTTTGTTGAAAAAAACGTAGAAATGTTTAATTGTAACTTTTTATCTGTACACTTTCACAAAAGGTAAACCATGAAATTATCAGTCATCCAAAACCATAATTGAACTGTTTCATTCAAAGAACATTTCACAGCTTTTTTTTAATTGAAATTGGAATTTCCACGTTATTCAAGGTGAAATAAAGTTAAAAAAAAAATGCAGAAGTTGGTCTCAGTTCCCCTATTCAAAAAACGGACAGAGGAGCTCGTTGAAAAATGTTTGCCTTAGATGACGAGTCTTTTCTAAATGTTTTATAGTCTATTCTCATCTTCTGTTTTACACCACTGTCTTGTACTAGGCATATGATTGACTTGCAAGCATGTTAAATCCGGTCGAATTACGTACTGTTATCATTGACAAGACCGGACCCATTTATTTTACAGGGGAGTGTCACCAACATTTACTTTCAAAAAATTTCATCTTTGATTAATTTTTATAAGGTCAAAAAGTATGAACAGAGCTAAGAGTGACAGATGGCTAACAATTTTTTAAATTTCATTGTCTTTGATGTCTGCAGGTAAAAGTTCAAACGGGTCCATTAAATTATTAGTGTAAACACAATGCACGTGCAAACCCAAACAGTTGACTAGGTTAAAGAAAAATGGTAATTCCTGTTTTTCCGAACGGCAGTAAAACGGTTATCAAAGAAAGGCATCCGTTTGGCTATGTGGGATGTATAAATTCCAGCCACGTCTGGTCTAAATTATGACGTGAAATCCACTGTCTCGTGTAGATACTGCCACGCCCTCTGCACGTTAAGAACAGAATTCTTTGAGGGGTCCATAGGTGGCATTTTTCAAGGGCTAAATTTTGTTTTCCAAAATAACAATTGCTGAATTGGTAATGCTGATTTTATATTTGGCCAGGCATACAAATATACTTTTACTTCAAATGATTATTTACTCGGTCTTAAAAAACTCGACTCACAAAAATCAAGAAACAGTTTAGATTTTCGATTATAACTCGTGCATCTAGGTTCTTGATATCCAATCCACAGAACAAAAACCAATAACACTTGTTTTTTCTTCAGGTTGATCCTTTTTTTAGCAGACAATTGAGAATTAACACTTCATTTTCACATCTCCACACAATAGGTCCCCAAATAATTATCAACGATCGGTACATTACGTACGCACGCATTCCCCCTACATTTGCGCATACAAATCATTAAATTTACGCACAACGTTTTATAAAGTTTTTGCAATTCATTTTACAGGTAATTAAAGGTAAACTTATAGATAATTCACATTCCATTTCTTAACGGTCCTAGATTTACCATTACAGCTTTCAATATCAATTTTCAGGTTATATTTAAATAACAACTGTACAAGGGGACTTAGTCCTGTGTAATTATAAGTTTAAATTATGATTACCTGCTGTTCCACTGTAACTTGTAATTGTAAGCTGGTAGTTAGTGCTCTCACTCCCCACACATATTCCATCGTACACAGCATAAGCTGTAGTCTTATTGACATCTTCAAGATCAAATCGGACTTGGTAATTTTGTTGTTGTCGAAGAATATAATGAAGATTGTCATTTCCTTTTGAAATAAATAATAATTAAAAGATAATTAGCGGTACATATTCTGTCGATATACTGCTTTAAACCTTGAAAATTCATAGATATTTGTGTACAATGAAATAGATTTTTTGAATATCAAGAAATCGGCGAGCAACCTTTCATTCCTTCTCAAACAAGAAAACAAACAAACAGACATTTAAACGTTAAAAATCGTCTCCAACAAATAAATTGTATAAACACGATGTAATATTTTCTACCAAGATTTACCAAGATTAAGTACTAGAAAAGTAATTGATTTAGTATCAAACACCTGCAATCAACACAAAAAGAATAACACCAACGTAGATTGTAGTAGATTGTAGTAAGGAAAACCACTGACAAACACTTTTTAAAATATCGTGATTGTTATGGGCAACACTGTTCTCGGTGTTTATAAAGTTCGCCCTTTGAATTGTTCATGTTATTGTCCATCATAAAAGCATAAAGTTTCAAGGTAGTATTTCGAGATCTCAGCCATACGTGTTGATGGCTATCAAACGTTCGATGAACACTAACAGAATCACAAGGCATACGTTTTGATGGCTATCACACGTTAGATGAACGATACAACAGAGTCGTCACAAGCCATTCGTATTGATGGCTATCACACGTTCGATGAACGTGACACCAGAGTCACAAGCCATTCGTATTGATGGCTATCACACGTTTGATGTAACAAACAATTTAAGTTTTTGGATCTTAGACTATTACAAATATGCTTAAACATATAGTAAAATGTAAGTTACGGTTTTCACATGCCAACCGAATCAAGTTTGAAACTAATATTTTTATAAATATGCTTGAATATAATCAAATAGTTAGGTTATTCTATTAGCATGCATAAGGTCAAATTAGCTTGTATGTAAACTGCTGTTGTTGGAAAATGTTTATTTAATTTCCGTCTGTTGTTAATTAGACAAGAGAGGGGAAAGATACCAAAGGAACATGCAAACTCATAAGTCGAAATAAACTGACAACGCCAAAAGAAAAAGACAAACAGTCGTACAAAAGTACACAAAACACAACATAGAAAACTGAAGACTGAGTAACACGAACCCTACCAAAAACTTGGGGTGATCTCAGGTGCTCCGAAAGGGTAAGCAGATCCTGCTTTACATGCTAACCCGTCGTGTTACTACAAACCGGTAATAAAAACAAAATTCTAATTAAAATATCTTACCAAGCCAATGTTCTCCTGCTATATCCCCAAATCCAGTTTTGTAATCCTCCCAATCTCTATAGAAATCAACATTTCCATCAAATCGTCTTTGAATTGTCTACAGATACAAAGTATTTTGAATATAAACGAAGATTTTAAGACCCAACGTCATGAAAATAATAGTATACTTCAGAATAAATTTTAAATAAACAATTATTATATTTGCAAACAATCTTTTTTTCAATTTTTTTGTAGAGTTTGTGCTACTATTTAAAAAAAAAAATCAATTTTCAATTTCTAATTTTCGCAGTTAATAATTTTGATACACTTGTTTTAACGATATCTTTAAGAATGACATTTTCTAAAAAAATGAAATTAATTGAATTAACAATGTTTTATTATTAGATATAGAGTAAGTGCATTTTTTTTTCTATAACTACACTTCAGTGAAAAAAATTAATACAGTTATATTGCCATATAATCGGAAGGTTTGGCTAGCCATACAACCTGGTTCAACCCACCTTTTTTCTTAAAATGTCCTGTACCAAGCCAGGAATATGGCAGTTGTTATCAAATAGTCCGGTTCTCTGTATGTTGGCGTTTGTTTTTGTAGCAGTTCAGTATTTATGTTGTTCCGTTGTTTTCCTCTTATAGTTGATGTGTTTCCCTCGGTTTTGGTTGTGACCCGGATTTGTTTCAGTTAAATCGATTGATGACTACTGAACAGCTGTATACTACTGGTGCCTTTTTTTATAATATTTTTTTTTTTATTGACAGAAAAATCTAACTTACCGTCCACCCTCTACCATCAGTGTCCATGTCACAAAACACAGTTATGGTTGGACCGTTTTCTGGCTGGATAGTATGTACCCCAGTACATGTTCCAGGAGGAAATTCGCTACAGTCGGTTGGTGTAGGAGAAAAGACCATAGCTGGTGAAAAGGAAATTACTATATACTTGTAGTATTATGATGCAATAGTTGAAATCAAATTATTATGATAATACACATCAAATTTATACGTATCAGTGCTCATAATGTAGGCAACATTTAATGGACTTGTTAACATCAATTTTGTTTTAATGGAACGATTTCGTTTACGTTTGGTCCTTTTTTTTTGGGGGGGGGGGGGGGGGGGATTTAAGCTAATCAACGTAACATGTGTCTTATTGTCCTAATATTCTGACTTTGAGCATTAGTGAAGACACATTATGTCAAAAACTGCATTTTGTGCAGTATACTTGGTACATTAATTAAATTTCACAATATTAGATAAAGTGCACAAAATGTCACGAATATAATTAAATTGTGTACATGTTTGTAGAATTTGTAAGCAACTACAAGGGACAGGATCATATTAAATTAATTATTTTAAATGGAGGTTAAAATAAATTGAGTAACCATAGATGAATAAACAATATCCCAAATCAAATGGGATATCAAAATAAAAAAAGAATAATAAATAGTCTTATATTATTCCTTGTCAAACAATAGGCAAAACGTTATCCTTTATGTTACACAGAATCCAACAATATTTTTTTTTGTATTATTTTCATAAATTAAGGCACCTGTAGTTAACAGATGTTTAAATCCTATAATTCACATGCTAAAAATACAACACCCTCTATAGGAATCCTCTAAAAATGTAAATTAAAAAACTATTCAGGTATATATGTTCTAAGACTGCGAACACATGTCTCTAGTGATTTGATACATAGACCTATCGTATCGATCAACTTATTTATTATGTTGACATCAAACCATTGTAGCGTCAAATTCATGCGTTTCTCCACTATTGAAAGAAAAAACAACTGTCCATACAAGTAACAGTTATTTTACGACTGATAATATTTGTCAAAGTTGTAACAGTTGTACAATTTCACTGTTGCAGTTATTTTTTAACTGTTCCAACTTTAACAGTGTTTGTCTTATACATAAATCGATTGCAACAACGCTAAAAATAGTTGTCACAGTCATTATAGGACTGATACAATTATTTTAAAGTTGTAATAGTTGATTTACAACTGTCCCAACTCGAAAAACGTTGCAACAGTCATAAACAAACTGTTTTAACGACGAAAAGGTTGTCACAGTTATAATACGACTGCTGGAACCATTTGAAGGTTGTAACAGTTATTTCATAACGATCCCAAAGCAAAAAACCTTGAAAGAGTCATAAATGAACTGTTTAAACGCCGAAAAGGTTGTTACAGTTAAAATATGTTTGGTACAGCCATTATATAGTCATAGCTACATTTAAGTTTCGCAACTTCCAAACATTGATCAAGTCATTAAGACTATTAAAAGTCACGGATACAAAATTTCTGACAGTTCGGGATAGGTTAAATCATTTGTAAAACAATTTCACTTTGCGTATTAATAAAGTTGTAACAAAATAGACAGCATTGTCGCACCCATTTAAAACATTGATTTAAATAATAACTGATGTAAAAGAAATAGGATATTGAAATATTTGTCACTGAATATTTTGGTATTCGCAACTAATTTGGTTATTTGTTTAACTTATCAACTTATTTAAAAATACCTTGCCTCACATATCTTTGAAAAAAATTCTGAACCAGCAATTTCACATGGGGCTGTCTTATACGCATTAAATACTTCATATGAAAAAACACCTCACCTATAAGATAAATTGAAAACAGATTTTTCCAATATCTTCAACGGTAACAGTTAACCCTTTTCAAAATTATCGAAACAACAACTTTTTAATTAAGTCAAAGGTGTGAAATCATTCATGCATTTAAGGCTATCTCCAATGCCCGTAGTTTTACGAATCACATCATAATAACGGTCAATATATTATAAACCCAGCGGGAATATACATACCTGTCATCCCCGTTTTAAACTACTTATTCCCGAGGGCTTATTTCATACGGCATGGACACTAATAGAAATCATTTGATTGTTTTTTAGCTTTTATTTGAGACCACATTTTTTTTTTGTAACAAAATTATAAACATGATAAATATTGTGGTATAAACCAGTTTTAATATATATATAAAAAAAAATGAATCAAAGCTATGGTAACTTTTAACGCACGCTTTGCAGCTATTGAAAACAAAAATATTCTAAAATCTATTTCAATTCAATTTGTTTTAATATTACCTTACTTTATTTTTGAAAAGTTTAGTTAAAGTTTAATATTGACTCGACTTTGTACTGTTTAATGTACCGAGTGGTCTATTTGAAGTTCAATAGTCTTAATGTATAAAGCACTTCAGATGGCATTATTGAGGCAAACATATTATGCCTCGAGTTAATTTATATTTTCACCGGATTTTTCTCAACCAATTTATGATGTATAATTTGTAAAAATATATTTATAGGTGGATGGACATACTGTTTTTTTAAGGCCGACCCAATAACTCTCGTTAGTGAACGTTAAACTTTTGTAAACAAGAAGACTCGGAGATTAAATCATCTTTTATTTATTCACACAACGGTTTACTGCTCGTTGTATTAATTCATTAGACTCTGGTCTTGTTGAATTCTACATGCTGACCTCAAGATGACTTTTTGTGATTTTTTCGTTTCAGTTGATATAATACATGTCATACTGACGGTGACTCAAACCATTTATAAATTCACATAAACGCCTGTCTGATATTGATACATTATTCAACCTGTAGTTAGAAAAGGAACATTTTTACCTTGTGAGTAGTTTTTGTGTTATTATAAGGATGGACTGAAAATAAGTATTCTGGCCCTGGTCTGAGTAAAAATATATAATCTTGCCGCCTATATGTTGGAAAAAATATTCTGACCTCATCAAATTTGCCAGTTGAGTTGCTAACTTCTATGCATTTGGGCATGTTGGGTATCGGGTGAAAAATTGTCTTAATTGCAAACAAGTACCACATCATTTGATTTATCATGATCTTATAAAAAAAATCTACTAGTTAGAATTTTCATGACTGTTTTTGTTTTTGTTGAAAGCTATGTCATGTATATGTTGACCTCTAAATTAAATTGTTGTTGTTTTTGTGTTGATATCTCATCATAGCAGGTTACTCACATCACCCGTTTTAATATCATGTTTTAGCCAGCTGCATATTTGTATTTCATAAGCTTTTCACACCATGATATATTAATAATGTACAACAATAGTTATAACATTGTGTATTCACCATTGATAAGCAAGAGAGTCAAACTCTAATTGTACAGCCACAAAAAGAAAATTCCAATTCTCATCCTCCGTCTTGAAACCACTATTTATATCATTTTCTTTTTTTATTTCTTGTTATATTTTTTCTTTTGCTAAAAGTTTTCGAATCATAGCAAATTAAAACCCCAAAATATGCTTTCAAATAAAATTAAAGATAAAACAAACAGCTCACCCTATAGTACATAATACAAACACGCCCTTGTAATGCAAATTGTGTATAATAAAAGGGTAGCAAAAATATATTGGGATATTTTGAAGGCATTTATTCAAAAGCAAATAAAATGATTCTGTAGAAAAACATGCCCGAGATCAGAAGCTTGTAAATATTGGATCACATATAACGGATTTTGGTAAACCATAATACAGTTGTTATAAATGGGCCTATAACAATAGGAGACATCATATATGATAATCAAGAAATTATTGTTCTATATCCTTAACTGACAAAATTTTTATTAAATTTTGTCGCCAACTGGTATTAAGTACTGGTGACCTCTAAACATGTTGGTATGCATAATTCTTTAGTTTTCAATCATTTTTTTATAAATATTTTACTTTCATTCTTATATGGTGGGTTGCAAAACCCTGATAGAGGCTTCTTTTTGAATGATTATAGTGGCTTTTGTTTGTTTGTTGAATTTGATGGTTGTGTCATCGAAATTCATACCACATCTCCTTATTCCAGTTATTTTACATTATACAAAACTATAATAATATCAACTGAATGTTAATAATCATTGTTAATAGTTGTCTGACTTTTGATATAAACAAGAGTGAAAACGCTGAAATGTCACGTCTGATTTACCTACATGTATAATTGAATTTATGAACATTGAAAGTCTGTAATATGAAAGTTTTACTACAATCATAACAATTGCAAGTATCACATACACTTAAAATTCATGAAATTATCAATGATCCATTAAAATGAAGTCAAAGTCAAATTAACAATGCCAGACAGATGATTTACAGCTTACAATCATTCCATAACCCAAATTTAATGAATGTAGTGGTTTATAGTACAAATGTATCGGAGAAATAGACTAAACATCCAAACCATGAAAAGAAAATATTGTGCAATGAACCATGAAAATGAGGTCACGGTCAGATGAAACCATCCAATCAAACATGTACACCTTATGATCATTCCATATCTCAAAAATTGTGATCTTATAGCTTATAGCATCTGAGAAACATTGGGATATACAATGTAGACCAAACCCCAAAAACTTAACATTGTTCAATGAACCATGACATTGAAGCCAAGGTCGGATGAAACCTGCAAGTCAGACATATACACCTTATTATCATTCCACACCAAAAAATAGTTGATCTAGTGCTTAAAGTATCTGAGAAACGGACTTGACAATGTAACTACTAACTAAATAACCTAAATCACTGAATCTTGAAATGAAGTCAAGGTCGGGTGAACCCTACCTGACAGACATGTAGACCTTGCAAGATACCCATGTACCAAATATATATAGATATATGACAGACAGAAACTTCATATCAACATATTTACTATCTGAATACAAGATAACAAGCATCCAGGTCTTTTAGCTTCTAAAATGTAAAGCTTTATACGAATAGTTTACACTGTCGCCACAACCAGATTGTAATACCTATTTCTTACATACTTTAATTTTTTTCGCAGGCGAGATAATAAAATGATACTTTGAAGTACATGTATTGTTTAATTTGATTGACCAGTATAAAATGCCAGTTCCACTTTGAACAGTAATTT